TAGATCAGAATTCAGAATCTCAATCTCTAAGTTTATCTGGACTGGCCTGCTTAGATGTTAATAGTTTGCTGGTAGATGGTTTGAAATCACTAACTTCATGAGCATCGTTCACTTTTTCATCTGACTTCAGTGACTTATTAGTATTAGGAATTTCTTTTGTCAAATCATAGGGTGTTTTCTTATTTGTAGGCGAAGATACAGATGTTTGTTTGACCCAAAACGTCAAAAGTGAGCCTTTTTTAGCGGCAGCAATTGCTTTTAGCTCCTGCAGCCAGACCTCCGCTTTCAAGTGCAGATCTGATTCGCTTTTTAGTTGAGTCCACTTTTCAACGACTTCTTCTTAGCAAATCTTTTAACTCTTTTTAGGATATGCCAGCATGTAGGCATCAAAAATACACTGGAACATTTTATTTTTATCCATTATTAACAGTCGATTTTTAAGCAGAATATATGAGATTATTAGATCTACCTTTCAATTGAAAAGCCTCACACAGACAAAGTTGATTCAGCGAGACACGTGTAGGACTATTTGGGTTGATCGAATAAACACGCATCACAAGCTGACCCTACACACATCCGCTTTTTTTTTTGGCCGCACCTACAAAACTCACGTGATCTCGACCTTGGAACTGATCGTACAATTATTTTTCCTCTAGATCGTTCAACAAGCATGAGCTACCGGCATGAACACCATGATGTAAGGGAGACAAGGCGTGTCATCAAGGGCAAGAGTCGCAGCCCTAAGTGTGAACATAAAGTTTTATTATGACTGCCCTACTCTTCAAAGAATAGCAAGCATTACATTGATACCCCTGCCTTACCCTCACTAGTTGATATGCTTCCGACCTTTATTCATATAGCACTATTGACAAATTTGCAAATACGGCAGTCTACTACACAACATACATCGTCAAATTATAGGGAAATTTAATTAGAAGAACGATATATTTCACAATCTTTTGGCAGCTTAGAAGTATCGCAACCAATGTAAAAAATTATTTAGTATTTAGTAAGTTTATTTTTCTAAAAAAAAATGCATGTTAATCAATTCGTGGAATTAAGACAACGTGACCTCACACTGTCTCTACCCCCCCCCCTCCCCCTCGTCACACATCGTCACAAAAGTCCTCTATACTCCGGATGTGATGAAGGACTGAGGAGTAAAGACGGTGAAAACTGTCAAATTTCATGTTATTACTTTCTCGTATATACGAAGTATAGAGAAAGTCTTGTAATCGTGCAAAAAAAAAAAATCGAGATTTTTACAAATCTCGACGTTTTACGCCTCACTGAAACGCAAAAACATAATTTTGCAATCTTGTCCGTATGTCTGTGTGTCTGTGTGTCTGTGTGTCTGTCTGTCTGTCTGTCCGTGTGTAAACACGATAACTTGAGTACCGTTACAGCTAGGTTGATGAAATTTCATATATAAGTATTTTATCAAAATCGTAGATCCGTATCAACTTTTGAGCGATTTCCGATAACCGGAAGTGGTACTTTTCCTACTTTGAATTTTTCAAAAGCCTATAACTTGAGTACTATTTCAGATAGATAAATGAAATTTCACATATAAGTAAAAGATCTAATTCTCTACATTCTTTCAAATTTTGAGTAATTTCCGTTGATTGGAAGTACTAATTTACGCTATTTCCGATTTCTAAAAAAAAAAACGAATGTAAATTAAAACTAATAACATTCCGCACTATTATGCACGTTTTATTTGGCGTTCACAGGTTTGCAATTCTTTTATCTACGAGATTTTATTCTATTTTAAAAAGTTTAAGTATTTAAAATGGATTCTTCTTCTTCTTCTTCTTCGTTCTTAATTATTAGTGTTGAAGGGGATCGAGATTTATCTGCCAGTGGGTTTGAACTCGAGACTTTGTTCGAATTTATCAACCATGAGCTTTTTGCCGACTCGACCACGCCTCCAACACAATTAAGCGTTACGTGTCAACTGGTTATGCGCCATTGAGGCCATTGACTCCGATTTCAGCCTGCTTTTCTTTTTGGATTTGCTTCCATAGCCTTTGTCCAACCAAGAACAAACTACAAGGCAGCAGTTGTTTAATTTTGGAGTTGTCTCTCATAGAAGAGTGGCTGTCCCCAGCTAACGAGCCTCATCTGCCCGAGTAAAATGGATTAAATTTCATGTCTATATCCCGAGTTCCCTTCCCCTGTTTTTAGCGCAATTTCCATTCTGGAGAATTGCGTTTATTAACCCGTCATTTCTGGATGGATGAATGGATGTATGAATGTGTGTCCGCAGCTTTAAGTCGTATCTCCTCCTCAACGAAGCAATATCAATAACTAATTCCAAAAGCAATTATGTTAAGCAAGTTACGAGGATGAACATAGGCCATAAAAATTCCGGGTTTCTTTCATGGATTTCCCGGAAAAGCCAAAAAACCTCGAAAAAATGCAGTTTTTGGCCCATATCTCGGCAACCAGACCACTTAGCGACTTGAAACATATACCAATCGATTCCTGCCATAATTTAAAACAATATTGTCGAAGAAAGTTTTCAAAAATATCCTTTCGTTTGGTCAAAAACATTTTGTTGAATTAATTAAAATTTGGACCGAATTAGTAGGCATTTTATCCAACCACACCACACGCGTCATCACGTTCAATAGCTGCACCATCACGTTCAATGGCTGCGTCATCACGTTCAGTAGCTAGGCGCGCAATGGTTTTTAGTCATGTAACTCTATTGTAAATAAAACATGTATTTTAACCAATGGTTTTACTAACCCTGCTCTTGATTTACGCTACGATAGAGCTATTTTTAGATAACATAAGGAAATTGCGCTTAAATGTCACTAGACTTTTTAATTAACTTGTTTCATAAAAGAATATTGGAGAAAGTTTAGGGCAGATCGATCCCGGTTTATTACTTTCTCTTATACAGTTTTTGGATGAAGTATTGTAATCGTGCACAAAAATAACATGAAATTTTGACAGTTTTCATCTTTTTACACCTCAGTACTTCATCACATACTAATTATAGGTGACTCATTTTAATCGAGCAAAAATAATAAATCTAGATTTATCCAAATTTAGGCGTTTATGCGTAATCGAGTCGGAAAAACTGGATTTTGCAATTCTGTCCGTATGTCTGCGTGTGTGTATGTGTGTCTGTGAACACTATAACTTGAGTACCGTTACAGCTAGGATGATGAAATTTCATATATAAGTATTATATCAAATTTGTAGTTATGTATCAACTTTTCAGCAATTTCCGGTAAATGGAAGTGGGACTTATTCTACTTTCAATTCTTCAAAAGCCTATATCTTGATTACTGTTTCAGACAGATAAAAGAAATTTCACATATGAGTAAAAGATCTAATTCTCTGCTTTCTTTTCAATTTTAAGTAATTTCCGTTGACCGGAAGTAGTAATTTACGCGATTTCCGATTTCTAAAAAAAAAAAAGAATGTGAATTAATAAAGTACTAATAATATTTCGCAGTATTATACATATTTTGTTTGGCGTTTACTTGGTGCGCAATCTTTTTTTTTCTACGAGAAACTATTCTATTTTTAAAAGTTTAAGTAATTAAAAATTGATTAAAAATCATGTCTTTATCCCGAAATTTATAAAGTACTAATAATATTTCGCACTATGATACACGTACTGTTTTTCGTTCTCTTTGCGTGAAATTATTTTTTGTACGAGTTTTTATTCTATTTTAAAAAGTTTAAGTAATTAAAAATGGATTAAAAATCATGGGTATATCGTGATGTGCCATCTCCCGTAGTGTTATAGAAGAATATTCGAGCAAGTTAGGGGAGATCAGTCCCGGTTTACTTTTACAAAAAAAATGTGCTATGATTTTATAAGAAAATACTGCATTGAGCAAATCTAACAGCCCTCAGGTTTTTTTTTCAACGAGCAAATTTTTTTTTATTACCACCCAGGGGTAGTCGTTCGGCAAAAGTATTTTACCGATATATAGCTAATAGAAGGATAATTTCATTCGCAGTCACTTTTTAGCCCTCGCCGTGTGAGCAGAGGCTGACCGATAGTTTATCCATAAGGCCGATTCATTTACCCAGGTTTATGGAAAAAATGAGCGAGATGTACTGAGCCAAAGTCCTAAACATTGTTTTGAAAATAGTCATCGTTTTTTCACCAAATTAACTATGTTTAAATAGGGAATTTCGACCGGTCAGTTTTAAAGCCCTTCCGGAATTTTTCCGAAGATAACGCCTATTTAATAGTAACCACCGCGGGTACTTCTACGACCTCATGAGTTATGATTGGGTTTGTACGTCCATATATTTGTATTTATTTATTTTTACAAATACAGTACTATAATTATATAAGGAAATATGTCCTCTGGTAAGTTAAAACATTGTTCCGGGATTTTCTCGAGGATAGCACCATTTTTTTCCAAACCCAATGAGGCCGGTGTACATCTCCAACAGTTCCTACGCGGGAACTGTTTTTCGATATATAGCTAATATAAGGAGAATTTCACTCGCGGTCACTTTTTAGCCCTTCACGTGCGAGCAGAGGCTGATCGATAGTTTATCCATAAGGCTGATTCATTTACCCAGGTTTAGGTGAAAAATGAGCCATATATATATATATATATATATATATATATATATATATATATATATATATATATATATATATATATATATATATATATATATATATATAGTTTTTAGTTGCATGAATAAAAACAATGCGCACCTAATGAACATGATAACGCGCTTATAATAGTATGCTAAGAAGTGCCAAGAAGTATATTCTATGTAAATCATTTAAAAATAAATTTACATAACATGACAGTATGAAACAGTTGGGTTATTGTTTTTTTTAAATTGTTATTTTAATTGTTTTTTTTTGTTTTTGTTTTTTAAATTATTTTTTTTAATGTTGTTTTGAGTTTTATTTGAATTTAATCTAAGAAAATAAGGATCCACTGTCCTTAAATTGGTCCTTTCGCATTTTAAAAATAAAATGTTATATTATTAAATTACCTTACCTAAACGGTGAAGCTTGCCAATATGTTTGCGATTGTTTTTTCCACATGACTGCGTAAAATTTGGAGCTATCCTGGTAAGAAAAAACAAATCCCGCGTAGTCATCATCAACTTCTGTGTTTACAAAGAAAGTGCCGCTGAAGTCAACACCAGAAAAGGCATTGTAACCTGAAGTAAATATTTATCTTTTATTGTTCTGTATTTCGATCTAATGTAAATAGCACATTCGTCTTCGTGAAAATGAGTCATGTCTAATCACTGGCGTGCGCTTGGGATTATCAATATAGCAAGGGTGCTAGGGGGCTGTAAGCTCCCACAGCAAGAGTCGTTTGCTGTTTGACAGGAAGAAACACTGATGATGAGCAATGTAGTCTAGAAAAAAGTGCGAATCATTAACGGAGTATAGGGGACTTATTTTAATCGGGCAAAAATAATAAATGCAGATTTATCAAAATTTCAGCGTTCTAAGCGTAATCGAGTCGGAAAAAGTCGGCTTTGCAATTCTGTCTGTATGTCTGTAAACAGGATAACTTGAGTGCCGTTATAGCTAGGTTGACGAAATTTTAAATACAAGTATTATATCAAATGTGTAGTTCTTTTTCAATTTTGCAGCGATTTCCGGTAACCGGAAGTGGAACTTATTCTACTTTATGTTTTATAAAAGCCTATAACTTGACTACTATTTCAGATAGATAAAAGAAATTTCAAAAATAAGCAAAAGATGTAATTCTCTGCCTTCTGTCAAATTTTGAGTAATTTCCATTGACCGGAAGTACTAATTTACGCTATTTCCGATTCCTCAAAAACGCATGTGAATTGATAAAGTACTAATAATATTCCGCACTATTATATACATAGTGTTTGGCGTTCACTTCGTATGCAATTCTTTTTTGTATGAGATTCTATTGTATTTTAAAAAGTTTAAGTAATTCAAAATTGATTAAAAGTCATGTCTATATCCCGAGTTGCCATCCCCCGTAGTGTTATATAAGAATATTCGAGAAAGTTTAGGGGAGATCACTCCCGGTTTATTTAAAAAAATACTCACTGACAGCCAAACCCGGGTCACTGTTCATTGTCTGGACAATCTCAGCTCCCTTAGTAAAAAAAGTTTTAAAATAGTATTCACAAGAGCATTTTGGAGTATTATCAAATACTATGAAACAGTTACTTCCAAATATACATACATCATTGAGTACAATCCAGTTCGGGTCAATTTGAGAATCCCCCTCGGGATCTAAAATTACGGTTTGGAAGGCGCGGAAGTCTGTAGCGTATATTTTTCCATTATCTGGGCAAACATCAACAGGATCGTCAAAGCCATCTCCATCATTATCTCTTTCGCACACATCACCTTTACCATCAGCTATTGATAAATTGCATTTTTTTACTCATTTTTTATGAAAAAATATAAACCTAATATCTGAGAAAGGAATAAAATTATTATTTTTAAGTGCAAATCTCATATCACAGATGTGAGAGATGAGTTATACATCTGTGAATGTGTGTTGTTCATAGAAAAAGTAACGTGTTATTATTTAAAACTAAGTATAACAAACTTAAATAACCAATACGAGAGAGCATTTGCGTTTAACTACAGCCATAAAGTAAATGATCTGCCTGACTAACCATCGGTATCAGCCTGATCAGGGTTATGTAGATACACACAGTTATCATCGATATCAGGAATCCCATCATTGTCATCATCATCATCACAAGCATCACCTTTTTGATATTTGATAATTAGAAAATGCAAGGTCAACCTGCTTTGAATTAAAAACGGATTGCTTTGAAAATAGCAAAAAATACTAGGGTATGATAACCCTTGTTTTTTTTTTTAAAGAATGAACACTTTTAGGCAACCTACCATTCTTGTCGTTGTCTGTGTCCTTTTGGTCAGCGTTAGCTACCTCCGGACAATTGTCATAATTGTCTTGAACACCATCGCTGTCACTGACAACGAATATGAGAGCTTTTTAAATAAATTTTAAAATGTTTATCTTAGAATTTAAGCTATGTTAAATAAAACCTCCAATACTTTTCTGTATATTCAAACCCATTTTAATATAGAAAGACTTGAAGGTTTCCTAAACACACGGGATTTTAAAAACTTATTGGGACTTATGAATCACAGTTCGATTATATGCAACATTTACACAAGTTAGCAGGTGTAAAACATCATACCCAATTTAAAAACAGGCATATCTGTATGTTATAAAAATGTTTGAAAAGCAATGATAATAATGTTGTTGTTTTTTTTTAATTTTTATCGTCAAAACATACTAAAATCATAATTAGGGGTTTATTTAGACGCAAGTAATCTTCATTTTAAAACCGTACTAACGTGTCTTCATTTGTATCGCACTTGTCTCCGATTAGGTCATGGTCAACATCCAACTACAATAGAAAACAATTAGACATTTCTTTAATGTAAAATTCTTGAACTAACAATAGACCATTTAAAAATGACGTTCTTAGAATAAAAGAGGGATAGGCATACGTACCTGATCTACATTGGTTAATACTGGACAGTTATCACATGCGTCACCAACACCGTCAGCATCTGTATCACTTTGCTCATTGTTAGCAACCAACGGGCAATTGTCGTCTTCATTTAAAATGCCTTTAATAGTATTATTTTTATAATCAATTATTTTTGTTTTTTAATGGCGTTACCCATATTATATATGTATATATATAATTACATGTATATATATGTATGTGTATATATATTAATATGTATATATATACATATATATATGCATGTGTATATATATACATATATATACACATGTGTATATATACACATGTATATATATACAAATATATATATATATATATATATATATATATATATATATATATATATATATATATATATATATATATATATATATAAACATGTGTATATATAAATAAATAAATAAATAAATATATATATATATATATATATATATATATATATATATATATATATATATTCTACTTTACACCTTTAAGACCTTAATTCAGTCGCTTAAACTAAGTTAAACCGTTATACAACGCACTAAATAGCCAATAGAAAATCAATTAAAAAACTGCTGTTATGCTAATACATTGACCCCATTGTTTGTTGCTAAAGCACAATGACATATCGAATCATCATTTTTAAATTGCTTTTTTCATAACAACTCTTAATACTGCAATTTTCATATAGTTAAGGCCACTAGATCTACTAAACGAGGTAAAACTGGTACAAGACGACGACTGATAATTTATAACTGAAATAACTAGTATCAAAATTGTTCTAAAGAATGATCAAAAGTGGACCAAATAAGCTTGCACCTTCTCTAACTTCCGTCTAAAGCAGGGGTCTCCAAACTTTTCAGCCCGAGGGCCGCATTAACTATAAAATATCAGGTCGGGGGCCAGAGTTTCGTCTAGGAAGTTCTTCGAGTTGGCGAAACTGCAGCTGGAGGTCCTTGATGATCTCATATGCAAATGCTGAAAGAGCGTCAAGTTGTTAGCCTGTATGTGTTCTAAAAACAAGACCCTTTTGGATCTGAAGGCCGTTATGTGGGTGCATAGAATAGAAACTAGATTTTACTTTCCTTGTAGTTTTAGGTTCAGTAAATTTAAATGACTAGTTATGACTGCGGCAAAGGTCAATTTCTATACCCACACTTCATCAGACATTAATGGTTGTGGCTTGCAATTTACTTTCCAGTAAGGTATCTATTTCCCTGCTTAACTTAAATACTCTGCTCAGAACTTTCCACAATTTAGCCATCTCACTGTTGTATAATATGTATCTTTCAACATGTCTCTGAACTATCTATGGTTGAGTCCATGTGGCTTTATTAAATTCAACATCTTCACTACAGTAATCAGTTCACTGCTAATGCCCATATATTTAGCAAACAAAGCTTGCTGGTGAATAATACAGTGCAGGAACACTGGTTGTAAAATGTTTTTCTTATTCGCTTGTCCAACCAAGCCTTTCTTTATGCCACTTATGTACTTTCCTCCATCAACATTCAGCTGAGGTTAGTCCAGTCCAAGTTATAATCAGCATTTTTAAAAACTCGTTGAATATTCCCTCTCCGGTTAAAGTGGCATACATGCTATGTAGAGAAGCCAGCTCTTGTGTTATGTTCATGTCTTCATTCACACCTCTAATGAACACAAGCAGTTGAGAGGTGAAACAGCTGTCCAGTGACTCATCCATTGCAATTGAAAAATGGCGTAACTTGCTTGCATTTTTCGCTATTTGAGTCACGATGTTTTCACCAATGTCTGCACCACGGCGGGCAATGGTAGTTGCACCCAAAGATACATTTTCAAATTGTTTTGAATTTTCTTGGCAAACTTCCTCAGCCACCATCCAACAAAAATCTTTTCCTTGGACAAAAAGATCTCCGCGGGCCGGATGAGAGGACCTCGCGGGCCGCATCCGGTCCGCGTGCCGTAGTTTGGAGACTCCCTGGTCTAAAGCCTTGGTTTTTATTATTTTTGGAGGACCGAACCCAACAAATGTCATATGCGTTTCAACGAACCCTTCTTAATAGTTCTATCGTCCGCATCCGATCTTGAATGACAATGACAACGCGTTAGAATTCCACGGCGGTTTAGATAATTAAAAAACATTTCGTAGCTGCTGATTCTAATCAGAACGTCAAAGGAGGTGCCACTACCATTAAACCGGTGATTACTGCTTCTTCAACCAGTAAAATTAGTTCTGAATTTGTTGTTGACTGTGTGTGAAAAGGCAGCACACATCTGATAAATCCAAAACTTCGAGCTGTTATGTCCGTTGGTTTCCAGCTTGTTTCCTCTAGCTTGTATTATTAAACAATCAACCAGTCAACGAAATACCCATGTCGCATTCCAATGTGTACAATAAATGTTTCTGAGAATTTACTATTGTGTATCACTTATGTAACCTAATTCCAACAAACTTATAATCCAGCTGTGCAACATATCATAACAAAGATTGTTCCAAAGATAGAACATAAAAGAGTAACCTAAACAAATTAGCGCCTGCTAAAATCTACCCTTTAAACTCAGATCAGGCATATTTTTTTTTCAATAGTTAATATTTGTTTCTTTATAAGGATAACGCATCTCAAGGGGAATTTAATTGAAGTCGAGGACTTTTTTAGCGAACAAAAATCATACACCGTAATTATTAAACCTGTTCTGGACTGACGCTCGCACACGTACACGTGCGCACATAAATATAAATTATATATATACGAGCCGACCCGCTGCGTATCATACGCCGCTATTTATTTATTTTTTTCTAATTTTCAGTAATTTATAATTTGTGAATTCGACAGTACAAATGCTGCCACTGAAAATATTTGCTTAAAAACACTAACCCCCCCACCCCCCCCCCCCACGTGAAAGCAGCCTCCTCTTAGTTACCTCCACTAAGTTTAAAATCGTTTCAAACTAAATTATCTGCCCCTAATAGCCGTCACCAAACCCGTCTATATGATTGTAAAATGTACACAGCGTGAACCACAGCTCACCAGACAATGTGGGGGTGGGGTGGGGGTGGTAGTGATAGTGATAGAGAGAAAGAGAGGGGACTGCAAGGAGGCGCTTGCAGCTTGTTTTCTAACGGCTCTCAGAAGAGAATTATATATATATATATATATATATATATATATATATATATATATATATATATATATATATATATATATATATATATATATATATATATACTAGCTGCATACCCGTGCTCCGACAAGGTGAATCTTTTTTAAATGTACCAGCTTGGGAATAGAAAAACCAAACACATCCACAAAAGAAATCACAAACACTAACGCAACGCCAACAAAAACGCAAACGCAAAATTAAAAAAAAAATTCTTCAAGTTCTTTTGTTAACGACGATAAAAAAAAAATTAAGTCTTTGCACAAATACACCCTACTCCATTTCTTATGATAAGACCATGCGATTCACGTAATAAGCATGGCATGGGTTGTTGTTTACTTTTATGGTTCTAGAACCTATAACGATGACTGACGGACAAAATACATTGCCGTTTATATATATATATATATATATATATATATATATATATATATATATATATATATATATGGGGGCGGGGGCACAAAAATTGAAAGTTCGTCCCGGGCGTCGGCGAAGTACTTTTATACCGATGTAAAAGGATTTCGCCGTTTTTTAATAATGCAATCGTTTAATAGAAATGCTTTTTATTAATTCTTTTAATACTTTTTAATGCAGTTAAAAATCTTTTAATTTCAAGTTTTTATGTAATAATACGCCAAAAAAAAAAGAGAAAATAAATGACTTTCTTTAATTGTATAATCTATTTACTATTAGAAGTAACACGTTTGTATTATTAATTTTTGCTTGCTTCTTGTGTTTTTACTTTTTAGTATACGAAGTATAGAGAAAGTATTGTAATCGTGCAAAAAAAAAAAAAAAAAAAAAAAAAGAAAATGGAGATTTTTGCAAATCTCGACGTTTTACACCTCCCTTAGTTGGAAAAAGATAATTTTGCAATCTTGTCCGTATGTCTGTGTGTATGTGTGTGTGTGTGTGTGTGTATATGAGTGTCTGTAAACACGATAACTTGAGTACCGTTATAGCTAGATTGATGAAATTTCAAAGATAAGTATTATATTAAATTTGTAGTTCTGTAACAACTTTTCAGCCATTTCCGATAACCGGAAGTGGAACTTATTCTACTTTCAATTTTTCAAAAGTATATAACTTGAGTACTATTTTAAATAGATAAATGAAATTTCAAATGTAAGTAAAAGATCAATTTTCTGCCTTTTGTCAAATTTGACTAATTTCCGTTGACCGGAAGTAGTAATTTAACCTATTTCTGATTTCTCAATAAACGAATGTGAATTTGTAAATACTAATAATGTTCAGCACTATTATACACAGAGCTTTTGGCGTTCACTTTGTGAGCAGTTCTTTTTTCTACGAGATTCTATTCTATTTTTAAAAAGTTTAAGGAGTTAAAAATGGATTAAACATTATGTCTATATCCCTAGTTGCCATCCCCCGTAGTGTTATATAAGAATATGCGAGAAAGTTTAGGGGAGATTCCTCCCGTTTTATTTTTTGTTTGTTTCGCTTGATCAGAGAATCTTCACTAAGTGTGGAACTGTAAAATACGTATTTATATAGAGAAACATTTTCTCAGAATGTTAACAGAAATTTATTTAAAGATTATAAATCATTTATTGTTATATATATTTGTAGAAACACCCCTTTAATTATAAAAATTCTGGACAAATACTTTACTTACGTTTTAGTCAAGATATACAACAGATAATATAGTGACCCACGCTTTTCTTTATAGTTATTTACAGGTAGTGTACTATTATATATTTAAAGAAAGTAATTTTTGTCTTGTTAATTTTTAGTGTATTATTATATTTTTCAGTTTGTTGATTACGAGTTTGTGTGTAATTTTTGTAGCTTTAGCACTGTACCATCGTTATCTTTATCAGGATCACAGTTATCTCCCATTCCATCGCCGTCTGTATCAGTTTGATCAGGGTTGGGCACTGTCGGACAGTTATCACAGGCATCTCCTTTTTTGTCAGGTTCTCGTTCTGTGTCTTTTTGTTCAGGGTTTGGAACAAGCGGGCAGTTATCCTTTAAAAAAATTATTAAAATCATAGAAGCTTTTAGTTTTTCTCTTTGGCTTTAGAAAACAACTCTAAAATTGTAATATATCTTGGGTTTGTTGGACTTGTAATTCCTATAGGCTGCAGTCAAAATAATAGTTAATTACAGCATATAATTTATACACATCTGTGTCGCACGCACGCACACATACACACACAAACACAAGCACCTAAAACCTTTTATTTAATTAATGCTATGTTTTGAGGATGGTATCATATAGAGCGCTCGGCATATATATATATATATATATATATATATATATATATATATATATATATATATATATATATATATATATATATATATATATATATATATATATATATATATATAGACATAAATATAGATAGATAGATATAGATCTGTATATAGTCCTATATGTATTAGTTTATATTTCAAATGACATTAATTTTGAACACATTATATCTAATCTAATTAAGGGCTAGGGGCTTGAACTAATTGTTTTTATTCTTAAATCATACCCCCCCCCGCCCCTTCTGATAGTCCACAAGTACGGCAAAAAATATTTAAATCGGTTCAAGCGTTATAGCCTGCACAACTTTTGACTTTGATGCAATAGATACAAGATATATCTCCGTGCTTCGGTAAAATATAAAATAAAAGCCAAAAAACATAATAGACAAAAGTTGATTTTAATTAGTGTAAAGTAGTTATTTATTTCATGGGGAGGCGTGGTTGAATTGTACACTGTTCGACTGTTAAACCGAAAGTCGAATTTCATATCGCAGACAGACATAGAAGGAAATTTAATAAAAGTTTCTAAAACACTATCAAATCAGACGAAATAAATAAAGCGGAAGTGATTTTTCCTTAAATTTCTCCAATATTCTTATATATCACTAATGGAATTGCCACTTCCAATGCAATAATGATATAGTTTTTTGGTGGTTTTTTTTAACAAGCTTTTATTTAACTCACTTCCTCTGTCGTCAGGCGTCAGTCTGTCGTCAGTCTAGATCGAAACGCAGGAGTGAAAATTCGGACAGTTCTACTTGACCGATATGATTCACAGTTGGCACGTGGGTCAAGACATGAAGACAATGCAATCTGATACTAAATTTGACTTAATTGGGTGCTTAATTAATTTTTTTATGAATTAATTAAAATTTGGACCGAATTAGTAGGCATGTCTATCCAACCACAACACACGAGTCATCACGTTCAATAGCTGCGCCATCAGGTTCAATAGCTGCGCCATCACGTTCAATAGACGCGCAATGGTTTTTAGTCATGTAACACTATTGTAAATAAAACATGTAAAGTACTGAAAAAAAATTCATAAAAAAACGTTTTAATAACAAGCTTTTATGTACTAATGCACTAAAAAGTAGAAAATAAATTATACACTACTATTTAAATTACTATAAAGAAAAGCGTGGGTCTCTTCTCAAATATTAGTAAAGGTATCCAATAGGTACTAAAGTACTAAAGTGACCCACGCTTTTCTTTATAGTAATTTAAATAGTAGTGTATAATTTATTTTCTACATTTTAGTGCATTAGTACATAAAAGCTTGTTATTAAAACGTTTTTTTAATGAATTTTTTTTTGTTTTGTTTTTTGTAATACGCAAAAAAAAAGAATTGCGCACCAAATGAACGCGTACAATATGTGCATAATAGCGCGAAAAATATTGGTACTTTATAAAGAAAATATTGATTAATTTTTAAACGATTATTAAACATATAAATAAGTCTCATTTTGTGTCACAGTTCATTGTCGTTGAGTCTTAACCTATATGAAAATAATTTAAAAAATCGATCTAGTAGAAGTGACATTTTTTGAGAAATTGGAAATACTGTTGAGTACTACTTCCGGTTTCCGGAAATCACTCAAAATGTGACAGATTCAACATAATAAGATCTTATCTCTGTATAAACTTTCAATATCTAAATGAAACGGTACTTACTTTAGCGGTATTTTAGAAGCCGGAAATTGCGTAATAAACCACATCCGGTTATCCGAGAACACTCAAAAATTGAAAATAATCCAAGTATAATATCCTATACTTATATACAAAATTTCTCTACCTAACTGAAAAAAACCCAGTAGTGAATTTATAGTGTTCACACGGAAATAGAGTAAAGTTCCGTATCCGGTAAAATCTTCAGAAGTTGATAGAATTATGGTCACACAATTTAATACATAATGTGTCGAAATTTGTCTACCTAGCTTAAACGTCGCTCTAATTATTGGCTATTAAAAAAAACTTACATTCGAAATTTCGTCAACATAACTGAACCGGTATTCAAGTTATCGTGTTAACAGACACAATCACAGACATACAGACAAATTTGCAAAAACAAGCTTTTCCGTTTCAGAAGGATGTATAACGTCAAACTTTTTCCAAATCTCTATTTTTTGGCAAGGTTAAATTGTATACAGTAGCGTATGACCATTTTAAGGATAGTGGCGCCTTTTTCGGAGATTTATATACTAAAATTGAAAAGAAGTTCCGCAACATACACACACACACACACTCACACACACACATACACACACAAATAACAACAACAGCAAACACACTACTGAAACTACGAATTTAAAACTGTCATGTTATGTACCATGATACATTTTTTTTAAAACTCATCGCAGATAGATCTACAGCCTACTTCTTGGCTTACTATCGGCGCCTCTCAGCGCCAGGCACGTGTGAGGAGCTTTTTTGTCACATTGTCTGTTCACTTAAGCGTCTGAACATCTGCTGTGTGTGTTATTCCTACGCCTCTGATTGCATACTATTTGTTCCGTATAAAGTAGAGAGGTTAAACGGCGAGAACAGTAAAATATCTGGTAATATTCAGCACGATTATAATACTTCATCTATTCTCTATAGGCCTATAAGAGAAAGTAAAAAGGCAAAAAGGTGTATATTTTAATAAAGGTAATGTGTAACTATAGACCTAATCTAACGGTGAGAATGGCAGCAGGACATTACCCCCCCCCACACACACACGGAAATTACTCCACGGACGTTCCCCCCCCCCCCACCCGTATTTACCCCCCCCCCCCCCCGAGCATGTACCCCCTGTCAATAACCCCCCCCCCCCCGGGATAATTCCCCCTCCCCCTCTCTCAAGTTAGAATCCTAACTCTAACTAGAATTCTATACCTATATACTACTTTAATCCTAACCTTAAGAAAAAGACCAAAACCTAAGCATCCACCTTAGCCTAAAACTTAACACAAAACCAAAACCAATGCTAGACATTGTTTTAAGCCTAACCCTAACCCTAGCCCTAACCCTAGCCCTAACACTGTCCGGGGGGGGGGGGGGTAACGTCCTGTTGGGCGGGGGGGGGGGGACTTGACAGGGGTGTAATTGACAGGGTGGTAATTACTACGGGGGGTAATGTCGGGGGTGGGGAATGTCCGGGGGAGAATTCACGATGGAGGGGGGGGGAAATGCCCTGTTCCAGTGAGAATAGTGTTCCGTAACAAGGTCCGAATGGTGTCTGCGAACATAGTCGTCAACTTGTCTAATTTTGTGCCAGACACTCTAAAACGGTATTTGTGCAATAAATTGAAGACAGAAAAAAAAGATTTATTAAGGTTACTTACAGGGTTGTTAAGAATACCATCATTGTCCATATCAAAATCGCAGGCGTCACCTATCCCATCACGGTCAGCATCCTCTTGTCCACTGTTAGGAACCTCAACACAATTATCCTGTTTAAAAAAAGTTTAAAGTATCTCGCACTTTTAGTTGACTTCTTGTGTAGCCTCTTGAAAAGATAACTTATGTTAAGTACATATTTACCTTTCTACATTTTCGGTCATCGCATGTAAGTTCAACATCAGGCAGTCCATCCAGATCAGTGTCCCGTGAGCACAAATGTCCATTGCCAGCAAACCCTATAGTGCACTACAACAGAGAAAAGTAGATCTGCTAGCGTATGCTTTTGCGTGTAACAAACGTCAGATAAGTCACACAGGTGAAAAACGCAGCTTTTGACCCCGTCTGTCAAAATGTAAAAGCTTTTCCTTTCATGTTTTCTTTTTGAAAAATGTCTCGTACAGTGATCATTTTAGTACCATAAAAAATACATCTTAAGACCTCTAATTATGTGTCATTTTTATTCTTGTTGGACTGTAAAAATAGCTGAAATTATTTTTCAACGGTAGTGGCATAGGCTATTCCCCTGCATTTTGCGGTAATTTAAAGTATTTCTTTACAATTAGATGTAAAACTCGCGGAATGGAATAAACTTTAGTGCAGTGGTTCTTAAACTTTTTTGAGGTACCTAACCCCACCAGCTTTATATGCGCATTCACTTATGAACTCAAAACATTGGTGTATATTTTATTGGTGCATAAAATGAACCGTACATCACCATCACTGTGTTCAAAGATCAAAATCATTAAAATATAATTTTCACACAAAAACAAAAATTTAATGAATATTTAATTCAAATCAGTGTTGCCTTTCAGACATCCGTTCAGAAATACGCAGCTTCACCTTGGCAAATGCCACCCTCATGTCATTTATTTTCGCAAGACAAAGTATGTTCCTTTTCTTCGTTTTTATGTCCAGCATCTTCGAAAAAATTGTTCGCAAAGATATGTTTGCATCGAAAGGTATGAAAATCTCCATTGTTAACATTTGTTGACATCAAAACGTTAAGAGCGTTGTTGTTCTTAAGAAGTGGTATGGAAACTGGTTCAAATTCACAGCCCATTTCTTTACACAGCTCAATGAAGGTACGGTACGCTTGAGCACTATTTAGCACGTAGTTCACGCATTCCTCTACAAGTTTAATACTTGTACCAGTTTTTCAATCAGTGTTTTTGTAACACTGATGTGTGGTGCAATGGCTCTCACGAGCGCACCATCAGTACAACTTTTGACCCACAATGACTGGAGATTTGTCCGAACAAACTGCAGAAACGCTTTCTCACGTAAGATTTATATCTTTCGTGATGTCATCCACAAGTTTTTTTCACACCGGCTGCCGTAGTAGTTGCTGAATAAGGCTCACAAAATATTACATTTTTAAAAATAGAATAGAATCGCATCGAAAAAAAGAATTGCGCACCAAATTAACATTAACAGTGTCTTTATAATAGAGTGGCAAATTAGTACTTTATAAAGGAAACATTGATTAATTTTTAAAAAGTTAATTAAACATCAAATTCAGCCAAATTTTATGTCACAATAAATTGTCATCGAGCCTAGAACTGCTTGAAACATTTTGAAGAAAAGTTAAGTAATACTTCCGTTTACTGGAAATCATTCAAATTTGATAGCATCAAGAGAACAATAACTTAGATCTAAGTTTAAAATTTCGTCGACCTTATTGACACGGTACTCAAGTTTTCGATACTTTATAAACCAGAAATAAAGTACCACTTCCGGTTTTCGAATGTGACTCAAAAATTGGAAATAATTCAAATATAAGATTTTATTCTTCCGGTTTACGAAAAACGTTCACTCAAGCTATTGAATTTTGAAAAACTGAAAGTAGAGTAAGTATCACCTCCGGGTACTGGACATGTAATTGTCTAATTTTAGAAGTGAATGTAGATATATAAAAAAATACCGAAAAGGAATAAATATAGTAAGCGTTAGTATCAGGATTAAGGTAAAGGCTATTAGGTGTTTTATTTCAAGTTAAATTTCCGGATCCAGTTAAAAAGTTGATTATGGATGAAAATCCGTTATCAATTAAATGTTTCGTTTCCGGTATATCGTTATTGAATATAATTATTAAATTTCTATCTAATTTAATTAAAAAATAGATATTCTTGCATTGTCTTCCAAGTAAATCCGCTGTGTCAATGTTCAAATAAAACGGGCATTGAGTAGTAGGTGATACTAACATTCCAAGATTTGCGGATCAACAAACAAAATATAGTTATGATTAAATTAAATTATATGTTTAAGATCTATCACTGTGTTCAATTTTAGCTCTATCAGACAATGGATATACGCTTAAATTAATATTTCAAGATTTGAGGGGCCACATACTTACTTATATTTGAAATTTTGGTCAACGTAACTGAAACGGTACTCAACTTCACAATGAGAAACGGTTTTTCCGGCTCTAGAGGTTGTTAAATATCAATATTTTCAAAAACTCGTTTTAGATTTTTTCACAATTACAATACATCCTTTATATTCCGTACACAATAAAGTAGGGAGGTGCACTGGCTTTTTTGAAAAACGTATCTGTATAAGACCGTGACTTGTGTATTTTGAAAGATCATATACTAGGGAATATAATAAATTTCTAATTAATGTATAATAAAATAACGACATTTGAGAAATATGTATAACCCCAAACTCCACCCTAAACCTAATCCTATCCGCAACCAACCACAACCACAAAAATAAACAAATATTATACTAACATATTCATGAACCCTCTCCCCTCCTGCTCTTTTGACGTAAGAAAAACAACAACATTAACACAATCATGAACCCTAACCCACAACACACTCTTATCCACGAACATAAAAATAAACAAAAGCATAAACCAATCTCACCACAAACACAAACCCTCTCCACTCCCCTCACTTTTATGTCTAAAATAACAACAACAAAAACAAAAACATAAACTCTAACCCTCACTACAACCTCAAAACATGAACACAAATACAAAAAAAAAACGTTAACATAAACCAACCCCCACAACAACCTCAACCACGGTGACCCGACATAAGAGCGCAGATAAAAGAGCGCCGACATAAGAGCGCCAACAAAAGAGCGCAGACAAAAGAGCGCCGACATAAGAGCGCAGCCAATTAAAAAAAACACATGTTGTACGCTAAACGAATATGACATGGTTAACACTTGTTTTAATTAAACAATCGGCGGCACGATAAAACGACGTGTTTATTTATATATTATGGTTAATATGTTATGAATGCAGTTTGAAAATATTTCTAACCCAAGTAACTTGAAGAAAATCGAATCACAGAAAGGAAAGGCTATTATATTGGTCGAAGGCTACAGATATCGAAAGGAGAGAGCAAATGCTGATGGAAGTACGACATGGAGATGCTGCAAGAAAGATGGCTGCCGAGGACGGATGAAAATGCTGAACGATGTTGTTCTGTCATCATCGGAGCACATTCACGCTCCTGATCCGGCTCAAAACGAAGCAGCGAAAGTTGTTTCGGCTATACGAAAACGGGCAGTGGAAGGAGTAGAAAAACCAACGCAGATTGTACAAGCCAGAGAAGGAATTCACGATGGAAGTAGCACCTCATTTGTCGGCATACGTATCTTCACAACGTGCAATAGAAAGAGAGAAAACGCAAGCAGCTGCCATACCCAAATCCGCAGAACGTTGCAGAGATAACAATTCCTGAACCTCTTCAAACGACAACAAGAGTGCAAAATTTCGTCTTTTGGGATTCCGGACCGACTGACGTTTACAGAATGATGATGTTCGGAACAATGGGGGGGATGATACCAAGGTATAAAATAGCAAAATATATACAGCAAAATGATTAACTCCACTTAATCAAGTGATTAATTAGAGTATTAAATAGTCTTTTTAGAGCAAATTTGACAAATCCCGACAATGGTGTCTAGGGGCGACACCAAGACGTAAACTTGCTAATGATAGAGAAAAAATTCTACATCAAGCTGGATCTATAACCGACAATAGATAAAAATCGTTAGTATTATATCTTAGCACAGTTTAAAGCAATCGCCCCCCGGGGGGGGGGGGGGGGGGGTTACATTAACTCAACGTTGTGGTCACTTCCTGGCACCTCTGGCGCTTCAAATTTGGGGCAATAGAACATGGGAACCGGTGCCGGTTGGCTGCAAAGTCCACGAAGAGAGGGTCAAAACTGACCTCGACTGACCGGCGCATTATATAGCTATATTACGAAAAAAAATTGCCGAACGACCCCCCTTGATATTTTTTGAGGTTGTAGACACCTAGGGTTGTCAACAAAAAAACTCGACATATCCGGGAAATTTCTGCAGAGTGGTCAAAACTGACCAGTCGTATTTCGCTATATAATCTTTGTAATTTATGGGAAAAATAGAGGGTAATTTCAACACAGATTTTAGGGCACTTACTGTCTGTACATCTATCTAATGTTTTGCATGAACCTAGGTAAATGGCTAGGCCGTATGGAAAAACTGTCAGTATGACTCAAAGCCCTCCATGAGGGCTAAAAAATGACCGCGATTGAAATTCTCCTTACAATATATATATATATATATATATATATATATATATATATATATATATATATATATATATATATATATATATATATATATATATATATATATATATATATATATATATATATATATATAAACAAATTGAAGAACGATCCCCCTAATGTTTTGTGAGGTCGCAGACCGATGCTGGGGGGGGGGGGGGGTAACAAAAAAAAACTATATTCCCGTTGAAAAGCCCCTTAGGGTCGTAAGATGTCCAGATGTCCAGATGCCCTATTACCTAATATAAACAATTGTTTGTGAAAAAATAAACAAACACTACGTCATTTGGTATTTGTACAAGGGAGGTAGCTTTTTAAAGTAATAATTTTTAAATAATTGTTTTGCTATTTAAAATAAATAAATAAAAAAGTATAGCATTTGTTTAAATAGGTATTTCTTTTTAAATGAAGTTATGTATTGTACGAAAAATGTAAAAATTAATTGCGAAAGTAAATTTTATATAATATTTGATTTATACTATTAAGGAAGCCTTTGCAGTTCTAATAACTTTGCGAGTAATAAGTTTGCGAATACTCCACCAATGTTCGCATGAGATGAAATTACTCAGACTGTTTATGCTTAGGCCCTTAGCTCTCTACATAACAGCCAATCACCAATTAATATATATCACCAATATATATATATATATATATATATATATATATATATATATA